CCATTTTGGCTAAATAAATTTTATTGTTTGTTGTAAAAAGCATGAAGTATCTTTTCTGACAAATAATTATAAATATTGTTTGGAAATCTGCTAATCCCAAATAATAAGATGCGTCAAACATCACTTAAGACTAATAAGATGCTTCTGAAATCCTACCTTCTTTAATTCTCTCTTCCGGGCTTCTTTTCCTTTAAGAGAAGGAGAAAATACAAAACTTTTCAAATCTTGAACACTAGCATTTTGTCCAACTTAATACAGATAACAATAATGTGGGAGGCGATCCTGTGCACTGCAGAATATTTAGCAGCATCTATGGCCTCTATCCACCAGATGCCAACAGCAACCCTTAATTATGCCAACCAAAATCTTGAGATATTTTTGTTGTAAGCTCTCAAAACTAATCTGTCCAAAATTTCAAATACAAAAAGAAAGTTTCAAGCCAATTCCACTTTGCAAATCAATCAAATTAAAAAATGGGTCTTAATTTTTTCACATGCTTAAAGTTTTCATCATGTGCCCACAACAACACTGAATAACTTTATACAACTGACACCTAGAAATGCTGACTTTATAATTAAGACGTAACAGATTCTCTAGTGTTTGCAAATTTATCACTCCTCTTGTTTATCATTCCACACTAATGGACACTTACGGGCTTGGTCTGTGGGGTTCATAAATTTTCCACTCTTGGTGGATGATGTCGATCGCCGTCCCATGTTGACAATTTGTATGGTTTACTTGTTCATTAAAACAGAAAAACAAAAAAACCTGCAAAGACAAAGAAATAGCTATTCTTCTAAAATTTACAGAATTTCTTTCTTTTTATTTTATGAAATTTCTTTCTACCAATCTCTTGAAAAGTAACATTCCTTTGATTATTAACTTTTTTTTTTAATATTTTATTTATTTATTTGACAGAGATTACAAGTAGACAGAGAGGCAGACAGAGACAAAGAGGGAGGGGGAAGCAGGCTCTCCGCTGAGCAGAGAGCCTGATGCGGGGCTCGATCCCAGAACGCTGAGATCATGACCTGAGCCGAAGGCAGAGGCTTTAACCCACTGAGCCACCCAGGCACCCCTGATTATTAACTTTTTTTAATAGATCACGGACTGACTCTGAAATTGAAAAAAAAAAAAATCAGAAAATGCTTCAACAACATGGATAAACCATGAATATGAAAAGCCATTAGTCCTTTCCCTACACCCTGCCTTTATTTACACGTAGGGTGAAAGAGGAATAAAAAGGAAATGGAGGTAGTGATGTGGGTTGAACAATAAATGTCATCCTTGTCCCTCTCTACGGTTTTTCTTCACATGTATTCACAACATCTGTAAGATAGTGAAAACTCATTAATTTAAGCCTGCTTAATTCAAGTTTAGTTCTAATTCACATATAATTCTTGATTCTCAAGAGCGTAAAACATAACTAAAAGTGCAAATATTAAAAATCAAAGTATTACATGAAGGAGTGTCCAAAAACGTCCAGATGCCTATTTTTCTACTAGTACCTACTTGGCTCCCGATTTCTATTTTTTAATGGTAACTGAAAGGGATGACTGTCTGAGAAAAAATGCTTTGCAAGTCTAAATTTTTATTACCCTAAGATACTACTATATTACTCCTTTCTCTTATTTCAATTGTTTAACTTTTAAATACTTATTCTTCCCAATAATAAAGTTGACAAATTTACTTCCTTTTGAAAGTAGACTTTTAAAGGGTGTGAAAGGGAAGATCATGAGGTGTAGCCCGTACAATTAATTATACCTTTCCTTAACGATTTTTGTCAGAAAAGTTCATTAGTTAATGCCTCTTTCAGCAAGCGTTCAAATGCCTTGATTTCTGCTAAATGCTTCGGAGCTGTTCCAGGGGCAACTAATTTATCCTGTCCAGGGTTTCCTTCTTAGAAAACCCGGGGAGTGGGGGAGAAGGGAGACCGAAACACGACTGGTATAAATACAGGCTCTCCTGTCTTTGATGGCCCGTTACCATTTTTGCTGTCCTCTCTCAATGACCCTCGGGCTCCTGTTTTGACCCTCTTCTCCCACAAGGGAAACACAGGACAGACAGGAATTACAGAGAATTTCTACAGAAGACCACGGAGCCTTAGTCTGCACAAACTACTTTTTGCCCAAAAGCCGAAACGGCAGGGAAATCGGGCCACAGAACCGAAGAGGCTGCAGTGGGACGGGGCCCAGATCCACCAAGAGAAGCAACAGCAGCAGCAACTGCCGAAACCATAGCGACGGTTGACCCGGACTCGAGGTACAAGAACACGTCAAATCTAAAGCAACCGGTCAACGAGCACAGGTAGGAGGCGGCGCTAACCGACTCGGGAGAACAGCTGCTTAACTGCTGGAAGCCGCGCGGCCCCAAGATCCCCCGGTCCGTGACCGGGGAGACCCAAGCCGCGAAGAGGAAGAACCGGGCAGAGGGGCCTGGCGTCCCCGAGGCAACTGCGCGGGCCCGGGGCGGCGCGGGAAAAGATGAAGAAACGGAGTGAAACAATTCTGCACACTCACACTTCTGCTGGACTCCTGGCACTGCGAGAAGCGGGGAGGGGACGATTCTCGGCCTCTTTTACCTCGTAGGGGCCTTCACCTCTGTGTGCCGGTCAGCCACCCAGCCACCGCCATCTTGAAAGCTCGCGCCCCTCCGCCATCCTTACGTCACTTCCTATGCCTAGGGACTCAGATCTTAGTGTTTCTCCGCCCTGGCACCATAGAGAGTAACCAAGAACTCTCGGACCAGAGTCTCTTCCGCTGCAAATCAGTACCGAATTAGTTGATTCTCGGCTAAGATCCCGCCCCGAGGGAGCGGAACCACGTTGATTGACACTTCTTGAGATCAATAGAAAGAAGAAAAATGAAGCGGGTCGGATAGGTGATTGGCTGGTGGGAAGACTGCCCGAGACCGTTTGACTCAATTTCCGGAAGTTGAGTTTATAGGGCTGAATGAGTGGCCGATCCCAGTTCGGGAGCGGTTTTGCAGTCTCTGTAGGCTGGAGTTGTATTAGTTTTTGATTTTGTTTTTTTTTCGTGATGTAAGCGAGCGCGATCTCTATCAAACAGATAGTGTCTGTTTGAAAGTGGATCTCTGAATAACATTTGCTACTGCACTTGTTGCGCTTTCCCAACGTCAAGCCCGTCTGGAAGTTTACGGGCACACAGAACATAGGTAGACCTGAGCGAAGAGATCAGGTCCCGTGTTGGAGTCCGAGATTGTTCATCTATGAGAAATTACCGTAATTTCAATGAGTTTTTTTGAGGAGGAGATGTGGGGATACACGTGCAGTCAGTTTTAAATATACGAGTGGCGAGGTTGCTTTATATTGGCTGCTTTTCCCTTTTGGTCTTTTCACCAGCTAGAAGTCCTTTATGATGTCACTGTACGTACATACAGATGATCACTTAGGTCTAGTCTTAGTCCTTCCCTTCTCTTCTGTCCACTTTTAGTCTAAGACTCTTATCCTGTCTTTTCCCCTTAAGGGTAAGTTTAATATTTAAACATTATGCTTTTAAGAGATACCCTTGGTTATTTCTGATCTTAATATCCCTTCTAGGAAACTATGTTAGGTATCGGTCAGTTCTTACTGTCAATTATAAATGCTCCAAAATACTGAAGGAGATACACATTAATTTTTAACAACAGAATATTTTAAATGTGCACTTAAACATTTAAGGTGAGTTCCTTACCTAAACTACCCTTTGTCTTAGAAAATTCTTGATTTGGTTTTAGACTGAATTTCGAGTCCTAGAAAGAGCAATAACAAGGTCTTGTAGTTTAGAACTTGTAAGTTAGGTAATAAAATTTAATTTTGGAGATGAACTAATTTAGTTTTGCAACTAATTTTAAGAAGCAGTGATGAAAGAGAAAAATGAAGAGTACATTTGAAAAATTAGAGTCTTTGATCTAGCTTAATTTTTGAGATATGCTGAGCTTTTAAAATTTCAGCACATTTCTTGTACTAAGATGCAAGAATCAGTTATAACAAACACATTCTTACATCAGCAACTTATTAATGATTATGTAAGTAGAACCCAAGAGTCACAATGGGGAGTCATTAGTTGGTGAAAGATTTAGAAAACACTGTGTCTGCAGAAATTAACTGAACCATTAGGCCTCCTTAGCCTCTGGATTCTTCTGAAATCAGGTATTTGATGAAATGAGGCACCTAAAGTTCTATGTAGCAAGGACAGCTTCATTATGCTAGTGTAGAAAAGGAAGTTTCACTTCTCTGAAAACTCATATAATAAATTATGACTCTCTTTTAAATGACAAATTCCTAAAAGAGTAACAGCTTCCTCCCCTGCATCCCAAATGTATTTTATATATGTGTAGCTGGGATTTGCATATTTGTTTTTTTTTTCAAATGTTCCAGGGTGTTCAAGCATGTTTGTTTGTTTGTTTGTTTGTTTTTAATGTTGCAGAGTGTTCAAACATTCCCGTGAGGAATATTTAAGCATCACACCACAGTTGGTCAGGGTTGATTGCAATTATAGAAACAGAACCTTTATCTGTTCAGTTTTAACTTTTATCTTTTTTTTAAAAGATTTTATTTATTTATCTGACAGAGATCACAAGTAGGCAGAGAGGCAGGCAGCAAGAGAGAGAGTGAAGCAGGTTCCCCGTCGAGCAGAGAGCCCGATGTGGGGCTCCTTGTGGGGCTCAATCCCAGGACCCTGGGACCATGACCCGAGCCGAAGGCAGAGGCTTTAACCCACTGAGCCACCAAGGCCCCCCTTAACTTTTATCTTTTAAAAATCCATTTGCATTTATAGGATGTAATCAGTGGAAGTTACAGAACCCTTGCGTCCTTTGATCATTAAAATAAGCTGTTACAACCCATACTTCAGTCTCTTCTAGTTTATTGAAAATTGAGCTTAAGCTCAAGGTCAAAATTATGGTAGTATTTCCATTTCATTCAAAGGTCCACAGTTTGTGTCTAGGCAGAAGTTACCAAGTACATCCCCTTAGAACTAAATGATGTCTGAAGCTAGTGGTAGGAATGAAAGTTATTCTTTATTCAGAGTAAATTTTAAGAATTTAGGGGAAAAGAAAAGGAAGAAGTAACCCCTAGACTTGCTCTTCTACAATAGCATTTAATGTAATGTTGATCTGGTAGAGCAGAGTAAGAAGGTATCCTGGGATATATCTTTTGCCTCACAGGGTCTAGACCCAACTGATAAAAAACTCTGTGGAGTCCTCTAGTTTTAGCATCTCTTAAACCACCTTGCCAACTTATTAACTATATTTCTGTCCATGTTGGAAACTTAGCGGAAAATGAACCTAATCCAAGAGGCAAAACACTATTATAGAGACATAGAAAAATATTCCAGTGGCACCGTGGCTGTTCATTTCATTTGGTGTTTCACTGTGTTGGTGACCTCAGTAATGGCATGATGATACTTTTCTGAAGCTGACTTGAATTCCACCAGATGCTTCTCATAACTTTTAATGGCTGCTTCAAGCTGCGTTTTCTCCACTGCTCCCAGGATGGCACGGAAGATCATATCTATGCCAAGGCCAAGAACGGCAACTCCTATACTACCAAGGAGAGAAGCACCAATTTGAGCTAACACAGTGACCAGCTTGTTAATGATGCCAGTTGTGATGTTTGAGCCCACAAGTTTAACAGCTACTGCACTGGCTGTGGAAGTAGCTTCTCCCAGGATGACTGAAATGACCTTTTGTACTATTGCAATTTTCTCTGTTTCCCTTTCTTTAATATCCTGAAGTTTTCTGTAGAGGGTTGGCTCTAGCTTATCTTTTAGTGCTTCATCAACCTTTTGTAGTTCTGTTTGGATTTTCATCATGGCTTGGATGATGATATCACAGTTTTCTTTGATGGTCCCATCTCTTTTCATCTCGATGGAGGCCAACTTGCACCCCAAGTGCATGTTTAAGACCTCAATCAGCTTATTAGTAGCATGGAAGCTATCAGATAAACAGTCAAGAAGCTGCTGGTGAAGACGGTTTACTTCCTGCCTTCTCCGTGGATTCTCTGGGTAGAGGAAGTCACTCTGAGACATGTTTCAAATATAATCTCTGAAAAATAAAGTAGTAAATCTTCACTAAAATTTTTGAAAAATACCTGCTGTCTGTGTGCATTTGACCAAGAAATCTTTTACTTTATGAGTAGAAAAATAGCACTGTGCTATCTAAGGAATTCCTCAGAAAATTCAACAGGTTCTTTAAAACAATTATTTTTATGAAACTTAGAGTCAGTGTATGGGAATGTGGGTGACAATGCCACGTACCGATGCAATAAATGAGGCATTAGCTTTTTTTCGTGGTAGAGAGAAATCCTAGATAAGAGAATCTGTGTTTATCAAGCATCTGATTATTAGTAAATAAATGTGATTATTTCTAAGTTGTATTTAATAAGGTTTGACATAGACTACAGTTTGATATGGTTGATTCTTGATTACCAGCACTCCTTAATTTTTCCAGACCCTACTCACCACACTGAATACACCTACCAGATTGATTTCTCTAATACTGGAAGATAAATTAGTAGAGCCAGAAGAATATTAAAATCTCTGAATTTACAGGGTTATTAATGTCTAGTTTTGTTTATAGACTGTTAACTTAATTTCTAATATTAAAGTTACTCTATATGTCTTTACAAACAAATTATTTGTTCTCTAAGCCTAGGGGACATCAAAGGCAACACACAGAATCTTTACAAAAATTTTTCATGTTAAGGGTATCTATTAATTCTTTAGATTAAAATCTCACTAGGGGAGAGAGTGGGCATGGTACAGGGACAGCGCAGTTATGACTACCTCTGTGGTCTCCATTTGCAAAGCTTAGAAGTTAAATTATTTAGACTGGTTTATAATGCACTTGGGCACAGTGAAGATTAGCTAGAATTGGCCTTAGAAAGGAAATAATGCCATTTCATGAAAGTATTAAGAGTAAGTGGCAAGAGTATGCAGTAGAATGAATACAATGAATCAGGCCGGAGCCTTCTTGTGTTTGTTCTTCTGGCTTAGAGTATTATGCAGAGAAAATAGGAACAAGCATGTTCAGAGTTTATTTGGTTAAAAAATTTGAGGACTGTGAGAACAATCTTACAATATGCATACTTCGCATAGTCTTACTATGTGCTTGGCACTTTAATTTTTAGTTGAAACTCTTAGAAGAAAAGAGAGAATGAAATCTCTGTGGTGTCTGGCACATTCTCTCTTGAGTAAACAACATCCTAATGAATTTGGGCCCTATCGACTGAGACCATGGCTTTTAGCCTAGATATGAGGAATCTCACAAGCATAGAATGAAGGAATGATATTTTTCTCTCAAGAAAGTAAACATTCTTTTCATGTCCATAAAGATATAATTTGGAAATAGGAAGGGGATTTTAAATGGATTGGGAACATAATCATTTACGATGTTTAGTTTAGAAAAATGCCTTGGTATCCCTAATAGAATAAACTTATCACAGTCAGAAATTCATTTGCATCTTTGATTCAAATCCAGCACACACACACACACACACATGTGCGTGCACACACACACACACTCACACCCATGTGTTACACAAACTTCCACAACAGTACTTAGAAAATATCTCAATTTCATTTAAAGAAATTGTTGAGGATTTATTAAATATTCCCCAACTCACCATTTGGTGGCAAAACTGTACTTTGATAACCATGAATCTGGACTTTGTTTCTCCTTTTTTCTTCCAGAAATTTTCCATTCAACCTTTATCTTTTTGGTTCCTAGTTTTCAGATATTATCATGAGGTGAAAACTCCAGTTTCTCACTTTGAATTCAGAAGAGCATCAACTACATTCCTATTCAGATATTTAGGTGAGAGGAGTCTTTCTTAGCCTGCAAAAGTGTAAAATATCTCTAGCAGCTATTCATCTGCCTTTATCTGAAGGCATAGCTTCCAGAAAAGGTATGTGGTTCTATTTACCTAAAGATAAACAAATGGAGAGATGAGCCTTCCTCCAGGATAGAAGGCTGAATGCTTCCAAGTGGTCAGTTTCTTCCTAGTTAACTTGTTTTAACACACCTTGACAAATTAATCATAAAAGAAAAAAATCAGGGTGCTATTTACTTGAGGAGAAATGTACCCAGGTCCCACACAGATGTAGAGGACTCCATTTTCTTTTTCTTTTCTTCCAAGAGTTGAAGCAAAATCAAACAAAACTAATAGATGAGATTTCTTTTTTTTTTTTTCAGGAAAGAGTAATGATGGGACTTTATCCTCCCCAAATATTAAAACATCATAAAAATAATATTAGTATTGTACAGGTTGCAGGAGTAGATGGAATCATAGAACAAAATAGTTCTGGAAACAGACTCTTCTATACATTTAATATATGATAAATGTAGACTTTCAAATCAATAATAATTGAAAATGTTCCTGGCACAATGGGCTAGTTTGGGGGGGTTAGAAATTAATTTTATTTTATTAAAAATTTTTTTAAAAAGGATTTTATTTATTTATTTGACAGACAGAAATCACAAGTAGGCAGAGAGGCAGGCAGAGAGAGAGGAGGAAGCAAGGTCCCTGCTGAGCAGAGAGCCGGCCGAAGCAGGGCTCGATCCCAGGGTCCTGGGATCATGACCTGAGCTGAAGGCAGAGGTTTTAACCCACTGAGCCACCCAGGTGCCCCTGTTTTTAAAATTTTTTATTTATTTATTTGACAGAGAGAGAGACAGTAAGAGAAGGAATACAGCCAGGGGGACTGGGAGAGAGAGAAGCAGGCTTCCCACTGAGTAGGGAGCCCAACGTGGGTCTCGATCCTAGGACCACAGGATCATGACCTGAGCCGAATGACTGAGCCCAATGACTGAGCCACCAGGCGTCCCTAGAAATTAATTTTTTTGAAGATTTTATTTATTTATTTGACAGACAGAGATCACAAGTAGGCAGAGAGGCAGGCAGAGAGAGAGGAGGAAGCAGGCTCCCTGCTGAGCAGAGAGCTCGTTGCGGGGCTCGATCTCAGGACTCTGGGATCATGACCTGAGCCCAAGGCAGAGGCTTTAACCCACTGAGCCACCCAGGCGCCCCTAGAAATTAATTTTAAAAAGTTAGTGTAATATTTGTAAAAAAAAAAAAAAGATAAAATAGAAGAAAATTGATAATTTTCAAATGTCTGTATGGAGGAAGGCTTTATAAGCTTAAAACCAAAGGAAAAAAGTCACACAAAAATTTGACAAACAAGGATGACCATGTAAAAAGAACTAAAAAGAAACTGGGAAAAATGCAAGAAAAATGAAGTATGAATTTCTAATGACTGTTGCTATCAATAAGAAAAACAGTAGCTATCTAACAGCTAAATGAGCAAGCAGCTCTGTACAGTAAAAGCATGGTAGCTAATTAACTGATGAAAAGACTTCAATCTTACCAGAAATCAAAGACCCAAGTACATTTTCAATTATATTTTCTTTCTTTTACATCCCCAAGGCCTGACATGTGCACTTTTATACCCTTCCTCCCAGTTTCCAGATAGCAGTCTATAATTCTTTGTCAGTAACAAGTTTGAGTAAGACGTCATAATGTGCTCAGAATTATTTTTCAAATCTAACATAAAAGGACTTGTATTTTTCTGAGTTGGGCTTACCTTCCTAGTTCCTTTTGTGTTGGGGAAGGACTTTGGGAGGATTCCTTACGCCTTCTAGATCTTCAGCAGGCCTGCCATCATACCTTCCCAGGATTGAATACAGTTCAACATTATTTTCATCCCAACAGTGAGATAAACAATAGAGAATTAGGTGAGGAAGAGGTAGGGTTTGAAGGTGAAACTAATGAATTATTTTTGGACAGGTGAAATTTGAAGAGCCTGGTGAAGGAAGCAGTTTAATAATTCAGTAACAATTTATCTAATGGACTAGTACCTTACTATGGATAAGGTAACATGCCGAGCTTTATAGAGCACACAAAATGAAAAGGACATGGGTCCTGCTTTTATGGCATTTTTAATCTAGTTAAATAGTTAAGCCAGACTTCAAACCACTTGTTGAGCTGAAACTATTATGTCATTTGAAATTATAGGGCTCGTGCTTCATTTGTGCAAATTCAAATTTTCAACAATCTGCAGGTTAATATGTATTAACATTAGGGCCATATGGAAACATTCAGTAATTTAGAGAAGGTTAATAATTTGTTCCCTTTCAAACTGTTATTCTTAGATATATGCTTGATACTTAGAGGAGAGGTTATACACCACGCGGAAAAACAGTTAGCAAAGTGCAGCATTTCCAGTATTGCCCCTGACAATTAAGCTAAGCTCTGACTTGCAAAGTGTTTACTTCACTCAGCAAAACAAAAGCCTTGCAATCAGTTAGAGCCACCCTCCTTGAAGATCCTAGTTGTTACTTTGGCAGGCCTTAAGGGATGTCTTACCAACAATATATAATATTTACCTAAAAGATGTCTGGGCCATACATACTTTTCTCTATCTTACAACATTTTCAGGCATGACCTTTTAAATATTGACTTTAAAATTCAGTCTTTTAAAAATCATTTCTTGGGGCACCTGGGTGGCTCAGTCGTTAAGTGTCAGATCCCAGGGTCCTGAGCCTTCCGCCTGGCAGGAAGCCTGCTTCTCCCTCTCCCACTCCCCCTGCTTCTGTTCCTTCTCTCACTGTGTCTCTCTCTGTCAAATAAATAAATAAAATCTTAAAAAGAAAACATTTCTTTTGGGGTGCCTGGGGGGCTCAGTTGGTTGAGTGTCTGGCTCTTAGTTTTGGCTCAGGTCAGGATCTCGGGTTCTTGAAATCGAGCCTTGTGTTGTGCTCTGCACATAACTCGAGATCCACTCTCTCTCTGCTCCCTCTCCCTCTGCTCCCTGCCCCTGGAATGAATAAGTAAAATCTCTAAAAATAAAATAAGAACCTTTTTTCTTTTTAGTTTGGCTCTGTGCCCAACACAGGGATGACTCATAACCCTGAGATCAAGACTCACATGCTCTACTGACTGAGCCTGCCAGGCACCCCTTATAAGTAATTTCAAAGTCACTTTATAAATAAATTTTAAAGATTGGCGCTTATAAGTAGCTAAATGTTATTCTTAATCCAGTTCTTAATACTTGCACCATTGGTGTGATAAATGTGATTTTTACATTGTTTATTATCAGATGATAATGCTCACTGTCTGTGAAAAGTTCACTCTGCACAGTTAGCATCCACTACTGAACTGCTGTGTTTCTACCGTTATTTGAGTATTTTGTTGCCGGGGTTCATGAGGTAGGTCCTCAAGAGCTGTAAGGCAGCCTGATGAAGAATTGCTGGCCAGCAGGTGGCGCTCTTGATCCCCAGCATCCTTATTTCACCCTAGCCTTTGCTGAAGCCCCAGAGCTTGCTTGTTGCTGTATTTGGACTGTGGGTGCTTAAAATTTAATTTAATGAGAGAGTTCTGTTGCCCTGTTGCCAAAGGAAGTTTGGAAATCACATGCACTGTTATTGTATATGTAACATTACTTGTTATTTCAGACAATAAAAGAAACTTGGAAATGCTGATTCCAGGGGTCAGCATATCTTCTGAAACTGTAATGGAAACAAAGACTGACCTGAAATGGATTCTCACTGAAACTAACCTTGTCAATTATTTTGAAATGAGATCAACATTCAAGATCAAAGAGTGTATAAGAAATAGTAGAGATGTATTGATGTATTGTCTCTAAAAGTTAAGATTTATTTAGTGATACTGTAGAGTTGTTTTAGTGTTTTGGGGAAAGGAATCAATTTCCAAAGTGAAAATGTATTGATTATCATATATTCAAATAAAAAATTCTCAGGATAATTTTGTGAATAGCAGTAGCTAAATGTCAAGTGTTATAGAAATTTAAAGAAGGAAATTATATTGAAATGATTAGAGGAAGCTTCGTGGAGAAAGTGACAAGTGATACATGTTTTGAGAGATGGTAGAATTATAACATGAAGAAATTATAGGTAAAAGATTTGATAAAAAAGTACTTTAGGGGCACCTGGGTGGCTCAGTGGGTTAAGCCTCTGCCTTTGGCTCTAGGTCATGATCTCAGGGTTCTGGGATCGAGCCCCGCATCGGGCTCTCTGCTCGGCAGGGAGCCTTCTTCCTCCTCTCTCTCTCTGCCTGCCTCTCTGCCTACTGTGATCTCTATCTGTCAAATAAATAAATAAAGTGTTTAAAAAAATTAAAAAAAAAAGTACTTTAAAGTATAAAGTCAGTTCAACTAATATATAAACACTTTAAAAATAAAGAAAGAAAAAAACCCATAAACCTACCATCTTAAATTTTTTCATTGTTCCTTCCTAAAGTTTGTTTAAATAATATTTTCATCTTACATCAATTTACTTAAACACCTGCCCAAATTCTTAGTTTTCTAATAATTTTATTATATGAAATATTCCATAAGATAGCAACCATAATTTAATAAATACCCAGTTGTTTCCCTATCACAATATTGTAGTGGGCATTTTAATACACAGTTTTTTCCCCGTTTCCAATTATTTTAATTATTTCCTCAGGATAAATTTCCAGAAGAATTGTATAATCCATGAGAATTAAAGTTTTTATTATGTTTATTGTTTTTTGATATGTATTGCAAATTGCATTCCAAAAAGTTTTATACCACCATCAAAAGTAAATTTTTAGAGCAAGGCACTGTGTATGTTTCGAAACCAAAGATAGTTCTGTTAAATATATATTGTTACTTTGGGAAGCACAGAGTTAAATTTCAAAAAGAAGAGTTTTTGCTTTTGTAGAAATACATGGTGGTGTGTTAATGATGATATGATACGCATGATCTCTGAGACTGGCTTCCAAAGAATCAGGAAGGGAGTGTGGAATAGAGTTACAGAGGAAATAAGATCAAGTTTGTTTTGAAAATTTTTGACACTAGGTTATGGGTATATGACAGTTGATTATTTTATCATCTCCACTTCTGTGCATGTTTGAACTATTCCCATAGCAACAATTAAGGGAAAAGAGACAAAGAAAACACATCTCAGCCTCCAGTGTTGAGTCATTCATGCTCTCTGGGTTTTTCCATTTCTCCCTGCTGTCACTTTCCTCACTATCCTAAATTGGGTCCAGCTATCCTGGGAAGTTCACTTATTTGGGAGTTTGGGAGTAGGGGACAGGTGAAACCAGAAGCTTTTCAAGAGAAAATAGCAGTTACTGACTAGTTCTGAGACTCCTCCTTTAATTTAAATCAAACCCCTGGCCTTTAATTAAAACAAAACAAAACCAAGAAGTTGTTGATGGTGGGATGACACTCTTTCTGATGTAAGTTCTAAAGAATGTTTCTGACCAGAAAGCAGAATATCAGTGACATTCATCAGCCTTTGTTAAATGCTCAGGGGAGAATCCTCTACTTCTATGCCTTAAGACATTAGAAAAAAAAAAGAAAGAGTAGACAATGTTCCTTGCCCTCAAGAAGATAACAGTCTATTTGGAGACAGACAGCATTTAAATGTAATATAGTTTACGAGGGAGCAGAAACTCTATAAATTAACTAGTATTAGATTGTACATTCCTTCTTTCACAGATCCTGAGTACTTATATTGATGTTAGAAACATAAAAAGAAATGCTACAATCCATGTAAACAATACACAGGTGTCGTTTTGTCCTCAGTGCTTTCTAAAATTGCTATCTTTACTGCTTTTTCTTCCCCTCTGACTTAATCAGTTACATAAGCTGTTCATTTTCTTCTTTATCTGGTGTCTTCAGAGAAATACTCAGAAGGAAGCTGCCATCGGATCCTCTTAAAACAAAGTTGTTTTGTGACTTTATTATATTTATGGCTAGGATTCAAGACTGACATGTTATTTCAAATACCCTTTAATCCGGAGAAACAGAATATCATACCAATACCAGTAGAAATAGCCATATCGCTTACCTTGCTGTGTTTCTGAGTTCAGTAGTCCTAGTGGTTGTTTAGGAATATTGTCAAAGGGCTTTTTCATCTGGTTTCATCTGGATGTTTCCATGGAATGTGATGACTTACAGCCTTTGCTGGTCTCTGCTGGGTCCCTCTGCCTGTCCGCTTTATTTACTATTTCTGCATTTCCTCATTCTCTGAATTCTTCTATTTCCTATATTAATATAAAATTAGTATGTATTAAGTCATCTAATTTGAAAGGTGAATAAAGCGGTGAGACATGTAACTGTCTATTCCTTAATGGACTTTATGGTTGAAAAGTGCTGTACGACCGAGCTCACCCAGCTCAGCAGAGACGATGGCTCTGCGCAGCTCCCAGGTTCTGCGGTTCTGTCTTGCCAGCTATTCCACACGTAAGTTTCCTTTACCTTCTGTTGCATTCAGACCTCCGTCTGTTGCTGATGCCTTTGTTTCTGTTCTCAAGAGATAAAAACCCAGATATTTGCAACCCAATGTGGTTTTTGTGCGTGCGCTCTTCTTTCCTGCTCTTTATCACCATCTCTCACTGTGTCGGTGAATTCCTTGACCATAGGAAAGCCTTAAAGACTAACTTGACTCCTTTCCCTTAAAGCTTAGAACAGAGTCTTTCGTGCTTTTCCCTCTACATTCAGTCCTCACCTCCATGGATTCCTCTACAGCAGGGACACCTCAAAAGCAAACAATCACCCCAGCCCCCATAACTTAATGGAAAAAAAAAAAGGGCTTTAGAATTGGACAGTCCTGATTTTGTATATCCAAATATCTCTTACTAGCCATGTAGCCCGGAAAAGTCACTTAATTTAACTTTTTTCTTTCTTTCTTCTTTTTTAAATATTTTATTTATTTATTTATTTGTCAGAGAGAGAGAGAGAGATCGCGCACAGGCAGACAGAGTGGCAGGCAGAGGCAGAAGGAGAAGCAGGCTCCCCACCAAGCAAGGAGCCCGATGTGGGACTTGATCCCAGGACGCTGGGCTCATGACCTGAGCCGAAGGCAGCCGCTTAACCGACTGAGCAACCCAGGCTTTCATTGTGTGATGTATTAGTTTGTAATTGATGGGTTGTCATATGCATTAAATGAGATAATGCATGCAAAGAATTTGGCAGAGTGCTTGATATATGGCAAAACCTTCCTAAATGGTAGCCATTTGTCTTAACGTTAACAACAGTCATTTCTGTTGTTATGGGGTGGGTAGAGGATACAACACTGAGAGTCCAGCTAGGAGATATATAAAATCTAAAGGGGCTGTTCTATAGTTTTAAATGAGGACTAAGTGGGGTACGATTTTACTTCCGTCCCAGTGAATCATTTTGCACTTGACATATCCTGGGGCTTACCAGGTACGGGGATAAAAGGGAAATAGGATGTGTGTAGACAGTGTATCTGAAGTAAGTATGGATGGACAAGTAGGATTTCAACAGATGTGTGGGGTGGGGTAGGGAGGAGAGAATGCAGGTAGAGGGAATACTATGAATAAAGGGGCTAGCAAAATGTTGGGAGCATTTTCAGGGCATAAACTTAGTCCATTACACTGGTGGCCCAGGATATACGCGAGAGCAGTGAGGGAAGGGAGTAGTGGAAAATTGAGAGCAGTCTAGATGATCTTAAACGCCATGCCAGCAAGTTGTATCTTATTCACTCGGCAATACTGAATCATTGAAGTTTTTTATTGTGAGATAATATGAGGAGGTTTGGATTTCAGGAAGCTTACTTAATATAAACTATACTAGTGGGTATGACAAGACGCATGTAGTTGAAACACTTAGTGTCAGACCATGGGGTGTAGATGGTAAAAGCCCACTTTGAAGAGGGCAGCTATAGATCTAGTCACTTTTTCTAACTCATAATGTGGGCTTTGTGCTGCCAATTAATCTCATTTTTTTCAATAAGCAATAGCAATCCAGATTTCTATCTTTCAGTTTTTAAATTTAGAAGTTGATACAAGCAATTGTTGGGTCAAACAAAGCACATCTGCTGGTTGGACTTTGCCTGTGGATTTCTGGTTTGGGACATCCTGGGGTTACGTTCGCAGTCCTATCTTTTTATGTCTCCTCCAGAACTCTCCTCGTGAACATTGGTTAGAGACATCAACACTCCTCTCTATGGCAGAAGAGGATGAGTTGTACTGAAAGTGCAGAAACATTCTCAGGCAAGACAGACGTCTTGGGAGTTGGTGTCGGATGGCCTTGATCTTCTTTGAAGTGCAGTACTCCACCTCTTTGGTCTGCTGTTACTCACCTTTCAGAGTTATCTGATGGTTACTTTATTTTTCTGTCCAGGATTTTTAGTTCTACTCCATAGGAAAGATTGTACCGCATCTGCTTGCTCTATCTTAACTGGAACCAGAGCCCTTCTATGTAATTTGTACAATCTTGTCCACTAGATCTGATAGTTATTGAGGATAATGCGTGAGAATTGGTTACTCCGTATATCAGCATATCCAATTGAGGGTCCAGTGCACGATATTCAATCGTGGCTTAGAATCTTTTAATTATTATCTTTGTTGTTATTTTTATTAAAGCACAGGATCAATTCCTGCTCCACAGCTGGTGAAGCTTTCCTACCCTTGACAGCGGTTATTTTCCACATTTAGATTTTAAGATCAGTCTCTTTGCGGTTGACAAATAAATAATTTAAGTTTTTATCCAGATTACTACTTTGTTTTGCAGTGCTGAAACTTTTGTGCTGGAGAAATGTCTTCAGAGTCAGAAAAGGATAAAGAGAGGCTGGTGCAAAGCTGCCAAAACGTTTTTCTTTCACATGCAAGATCTTGTTGCCTTCACTAACACATTTATAGAATCGTTTAACAGCACTATGAATGCCCAGATCCACTCCCTGACTGTGAAGGAAGATGCTAACGTTAAGGATGTCTTTGAACAACTCTTCACAGTCTTTAAGGAGATACAGTGTGTCCTGGAGGCAAAGATGCAAAACGACCAGATGCAAAAGGAACCTTTATGTTCCAAGATTGCAACAGCGATTTGCTCTATGGTTGAGAAGAGAGCCAATGTCAAGGAGCTGCAGCAGTCAGCTAGAGAAAAGTTCAAGAATGTTCAGACACCAGTCATCGTTGCTGCACTGAATAGCAGTAACATCCTTGGCACTTTGGACTCTTCTCTTTCACTCTTGATGACATGTCCTATCATGAAACTTCAGTTAAGTGACCTCTATCAAAAAGACACCGAAGACCAATCAGAGGCCAACACCTCTGAGAAAAACCAAAGTCCAGGTCCATCCAAAATCGGTACAGCAGACATCTTGAGAAAATTGCAGGATGTGTTAAAAGCTGAACATTTCAAGAATACCATGGAGTCAGTTGTAAATCAGTTGGAGCAAATTGGCAGAACTCTGGCACCAATCTTAGAGATCCTCCAAAAAGCCGTAAATATTATGGAATCCAAGATTCCTGTGCCCAAGAAAACCAATGACCAGTAGGAATGCAAGAGGGGCTCATTTCTGTCAGAACATCAGTTCATGTCCTGAGAATTTTGAGAGCATGTTCTAAGACCTTTGCTGCCAGAAAGGTGTTATATTAGGATGTAAGTGCAAAAAGTAGCCACCTGGAAGACCATTTACCTCAAGTTTTGTTTTATTCAAATAAAACTAATCAAAGAAAGCCTGCTTGTCATGGCAGTTACTAAAAATAACATGTTGTTCAGAAAATCAAGGTAGTGTATTACATTTGGGGATGTCTCTAAACATTACATATCATCTTAATGCATAATTAAAATAACTTTAATTTCCACTCTTGGTAAGTCTATTTCTGGATACTACAGTGTGAAGTCCAGGTAAATGTAAACATTATTGTTAGATAATCTGGCAGAAAGTACTGCTCAGGTGCAGGAAACATGTAAAATATCCTTCTGCATTTTTAAAAAGATTTTATTTACTTAAGAGAGGGCTAGAGAGAGAGCGAGAGAAAGAGAGAGCACGAGCAGGTGTAGCAGCAGAGGCAGAGGGAGAAGCAGACTCCCCACTGAGCATGGTACCCGATGTGGAGCTTGATCCCAGCATCCCTTGGATCATGATCTGAGCCAAAGGCAGATGATTAATGGACTGAGCCACCCTACCTTCTGCATTTTTGTCAATCCTATACCAATTTCTGTATCATCAGTGCCTTACCTATCATAGGTAAAGAAGAAGTTAATAAGAACAATGAATGAAGAGTAATAGTTTTCTTGCTTACTTGAATAAGAACAGAGCAGGTGATTTATTCTTGTCTGCCTCCTACTGAGGTCTTATGATTAGGAGCTATTGGAGGTTCAAAAATGGAGGTGTTCTAGCCTTTTACAAATAAAAAACTGCAACATTTGTAGAAGTAGGATTTCTGAGATGTGCTTGTATTGACAAAGAGAGGTTAGATAAATCCCTTTGCCTACCAGAACATCTTTGGCTCTCATGTAACAGGAAAGAGTGTGTGTTTTCACAATTGCTCTATTCTACATGGTAAATAGGAACATTGTTGAGAATAAGACAAGCCATTAATAATTCCAGTTCTTGAGTGGAATTTTTCTTCTGAGAATACCTAAGTTTTGTCCTCCTTGAAACATTTTCTCCTCTAAAGTTTTAAATACCATTTTATCCTTTAAAAATAAGGAGATGCTTATTTCCCTACACTTAAAAATAAGGCTGCAGCATGAGGGGCACCTGGGTGGCTCAGTGGGTTAAGCCTCTGCCTTCGGCTCAGGTCATGATCCCAGGGTCCTGGGATTGAGCCCCACCTCGGATGCTCTGCTCAGCGGGGAGCCTGCTTCCTCTTCTCTCTCTGTCTGCCTGCCTCTCTGCCTACTTGTGATCTCTCTCTCTGTCAAATAAATAAATAAAATCTTTAAAAAAATACGGCTGCATCATGAGAAACTAAGAGACAAATTGTGAGCATTTGATGGTGTGGCGGAAGAAGATAATCGCAGTACTTTTTAGCCTGCGATGCAGTCACATCCACCAAGGGTGCCAGTCCACCTCCCCGGTAGTGGCTACTTTGAAGTTGCACTTTTGCCATCCTGAGTCAGGAGCTCAGCTCCAAAGCCAAGGCTGTCATTGGAATCACCCTTGTAATTTTGAAGTAAGGATCCCTTCCTTGGGGGGCGCCTGGGTGGCTCAGTGGGTTAAAGCCTTTGCCTTCAGCTCAGGTCATGATCCCAGTGTCCTGGGATCGAGCTCCACATCAGGCTCTCTGCTCAGCAGGGAGACTGCTTCCTCCTCTCTCTCTGCCTGCCTCTCTGCCTACTTGTGATCTCTGTCTGTCAAATAAATAATAAATAAAATCTTTAAAAAAAAAAAAAAAAGAATAATCCCTTCCTTGCTCCCTAACAGTTAAGACCTTCAGAGAGTCCTGTAGTAAGGGCCAAGGGGATTTGGACCACTTCCAGGGCTTAGAGGGCTTGGAAAAAAGCTGAGTTTCAATACATGAATTCTGCATTTTCTCTCAGCTCCAAATAGCTGGCTTATTTTCAGGATGTTCTTGAGTGTATCCATTTGCTACCCTGTCCTCAAAACTACACATGTAGAAATGGGAGGTGGAAAGTGCTGCTCTCACTTTGTTACTTTTTCTGAACCTATGTGTGTTTCAGGTTCTCACCTGCCTTCTCTCGGTTTTAAGATTGTGTCCCAGGAGGGGCACCTGGGTGGCTCAGTTGGTTAAGTGTCTGCCTTCAGCTCATGTCATGATCCCATGGTCTTGGGTTAGAGCTCCACTTCGGGCTCCTTGGTCAGTGGGGAGCCTGCTTCTCCCTCTCCCTTTGCCCCCCTCTCTGCTTGTGATCTCTCTTTCAAATAAATAAAATCTTACAACAAACAAACAAAAAAGATTGTGTCCCAGGATATTGCGACAGCTAGGAGAGTCACAGGGAAATGAATGGAACAAGGGCAAAGAAAAGTCCTGGTCATGGAACGCCTGGGTGGCTCAGTTGGTTAAGCATCTGCCTTCGGCTCAGGTAATTATTCCAGGGTCCTGGGATCAAATCTGGCATTGGGCTCATTGCTAAGCGGGGAGCCTGCTTCTCCCCTTGCTTGTGCTCTCTCTCTCTCTGACAAATAAATAGAATATTAAGAAAAAAAAAAAAAGACTGGAGGCATGACTGGGGGCATTTTGAGGGAGGTCCTTACCACACATCAATGGGAATGGCAGCTAGGATGGGCCATGCTTCTTCAGTAACAGCGGGTGGTTTTCAGATGCTCATGGCTCCTCTGAGGCTGATCATCACTGACAGTGCCTCTCACAGACATCTTACCACCGAGCACCACTGATCTGTCCACTCCAATAACTTCTGCCCACCCTGTGGACATACGGACATATTTGGGGGTGAGGGAGCTATACTCTTCTCAAAACCATTACTTTTATTTAGTGTTTCTCTCAAATTCTTTGTTTTGGGTTCTTCTCATTTTCTCTCCCTCCCTTCTGGTTTTGAAAAGCAGAACTCACTAGTTTCTACCTCATATCTAGTTCCATTCCTCCTCCAGAGGCCATGAGCACAGTGTGACCTAACGGAATGAAGCAATAGTGGGGAGTAGAAAGTGAACTGTCAAGAAGCACAACAAAATAAAATGCAAGGGTACTTACTATATGAAGATAAGGAAGGAAGGAAGGGAGGGAGGGAGGGAGGGAGGGAGGGAGGAGGGCAGAGTAGGGGGGAGGGAGGAAGGAAGGAAGGGAGGGAGTCCTGTAATGCTGTAATACCTTTTTTTTTTTCCCACATTTTATCACTTGCCAATGTTTGGCATGTGTTAGTGTCTCTGAAAGCATCCAGTTCAATAAAGGTTTATTGAATTTTACCAAATCAAGATCTGGGTTCATAAAGTGTAAGTCAGTTTGATTCAGGTCATTAGACACCTCAGGCCAAGAATCCTGGCTCTCTAAATAAATCAAGCTCTACAGAAAATTTTTTTCACAGACTTATTATTTTTTAAAGTCAGAGCAAATAGGCATATTAGAACACTGAATCATAAAGATGCAAATAAAACAATAAGTGAAGCCAGAGTATTTTTTTACATACACAAAAAGGAGAGAAGCATTAATAAAAAAAAAAAATTACCACAGGAGATAAATACTCTGCAACTTTATAGGGCTAGCTCTTTTAACCACCCAGGTAAATTTATCCATTTTACCTTCAAAGATATCCCAGAAGGAAAAAGCAGAAATTACAATGAAATTTTTGAAACTGGTCTCCTCTAACGTTTCATGAACTTTGAATCATGTCAATTCTCTATCAAATAATTTAGGAAATCTCTGTAACCACAATAAAAATTTCATTTGATTTTTAAGTTACTTATCTTGATCAACTCTGAAAAAAGAAAAGTTCATGAAAAAACTAAATCAACTCTGAAAAGAAGAAAGCAAAAGATTGAGAATTTACCAAAGTTATAATTACAAAATACAGATTCATGTTAGAGGGAAAAGTAGACAAATAAAAATGGAGCATGTGAAAAAAAAAAAAAAAGAAGCAGCAGCAGGAGGAAAAATTAAGTTATCTTTTTAAAAACCTGGTTTTTCCAGGGGCGCCTGGGTGGCTCTGTGGGTTAAGCCTCTGACTTCGGCTCAGGTCATGATCCCAGGGTCCTGGGATCGAGCTCCGCATCGGTCTCTCTGCTCAGCAGTAAGCCTGCTTCCCCTTCTCTCTGCCTGCCTCTCGACCTACTTGTGATCTCTCTCTCTCTCTCTCTCTGTCAAATAAACAAATAAAATCTTAAAACAAACAAACAAACAAACCTGGTTATTCCTTTACGGATCATAATCCCATCAGTCAAAAGCCTGGAAGCCTTCTTAACACAGGTTCTGGGTTTCTGATTTTATAGATGTGGGATCAGGCCCTAGGGTTCATGGTTCTAACAAGTTCCTACGGGACACTGGTGCTGCAGGTGCTGGGAGCATGTGTTAAGATCACCCAGCTAGCTTCTTACTGAGAAGACTGATTTCTCATGGAGATCCAATGCATTCGGCTGGCCTTTTAGCTTGATCGGGTGGCTCTTTTCTCTCCTGCCCACGTTACAGTTTCACTCTGCCAGATCTATTTCCTGACCCTTGTGTACACCCATCATTCCTATATCCCCTGTCTCTCTTCTACTCAGCTCTCCTTTTCTATCTGAAGCCCTCCGTTGAGCCTTATTTCCAATAGAAAGCTGTATCCAACCATAGGACAGAGGGATCTCCCTTTTCTCGAAACTCTGAGCACTTTTTTTGCGTCCTTTTTGGCACTAAACGCTTGACACATATCTACACTGACTGTCTTCTTCCTCTCACTCCTTGCTCCCACCCCAAGGTCCCAAGACCTCACCCAAATGCTGCCTCCTCCCTGAAGTCTTCCTGGCTTCTTCTTTTGCCTAAGAAGTTCTTTTGAGCTCTCATGAACAGAAGACTTGATAGTCCCTTTTCTTTTGGTATTTCCTCCATCACTTGTTGGTGTTCTGTTCTTCATTTCCCCCAAGAGATCGTAAACTCATGGACGATCTGGCTTGCACTCTTCAACTTTTAATCCCCAAAGTGTTTTGTACACAGTATGGCTCAAAAAGTGCATTTATATGGCACAAGAAAAAAAAAATTTGCAACATGTTCGGAGGCTTTTCTGTTGCCTTGCAAAAACTCACAGCAAACCTCTTCCCAGAGCCATGCTCATGGGATTCTCTGTTCAGTAACCACTAACCTACCAAGGTCCCTGGGCAATAAATCATGAAAATTGTGTCTATGGAAATTTTATGCTTGCCTTATTAGGAATAGAGGTCAATGTAAGCTAGGTGTCTGAGGTGCATGTGGCCCCGTTCTCAAAATTCTGTGGAAAGAATGATATACTAGATGCTCAAATTCTCAACTGAGTGATTATAGGCAGCGAATTCCCCACTGAGTCTCTTCTCTCATGGCACCGTCCCTTTAGAAAGTCCTGCTGGGGTCAA